TGGAGCGTGCGGAACTTGATGAGCTACGAGCAGAGGTTGAACGAGTACGGCGACAGAATGAAGATTTGCGTGGAGAAAGGACAAACCTTACTTCGCAGATCCATGAGCTCCAGAACCAGAACGCTCAGCTCATCGAAGATCACACCCGCGACGTGCTCTCGATAAAGGCGAAGGAGACGCAGCTCGTCCGTGCGCGCTCAGACTTTGAAGCATCCGAGCAGACAGTACAGAACCAGCGCCGCGAGATTGATAGATTGAAGCGCGAACTCCTTAGGCAGGCGCGTTCAAATTCTCCGCCAGCTACAGACGTCGGAGACCAGATATACACTGATAACGGAGTTGGTAACACCAACGGCGCGCATTTCGGTGACTCCGGCTATGGCAGTCGGGCCATGCACCCAAGGCGAGAGAGGAGTTTTGCCAGTGGGCCAGGAAGCCCGGGCGGCGATGGTAAGGAGAACTTTGATTCTCTATCTCGCCCTGGCAGTAACTTGAGCGGAAAACTAAGTCCACGAGCAGATGGTCTGTCGTCGATGTCGCGTGATGGCAGGAGCCCAACAGAGAACGGAACAGCTCAACGGGTACCTTCCGCAGGAGCATCTGGTGCGGAAAGCTGGAAGCGCGCAGCAGAGGTTACCCAAAATCTCAAGCAGAGGATTGAGATGATGAAGGTTAGTTCCGACACCTCACACTTTGAAGAAGATCGCCGTCTTTGTTTTACTTTTAACGACGAAGCTTACAATTCCTCAGGCTAAACAAGGTATCGGACGGCCACAGCAATAGAATAGCGACTTGCCGATTCGACCTCATTTTCTCGACGAGCAGTCGTCTTTACGCTTGCACGAACGAATTGCCGCGCTTCACCCAAAATCGAGACGGGCACACACAGATTTTCTCGAGGGCGTTCATAGGGCTTCGTAGCTCATCGCTTATCTTGGACCCTGCACCCTATACAAGGGAAAAACTAAACACCTAGGAGCCTACGTCGCTGTTAAGCTACTAACTTTATAAGTTTTTATCTTAATATAGGCTCTAGGGTATTTAGTTTTTCCTTTAAATAGGGTGCCTGCATGCGCTCTGCATGCATTTATCCGTGAGCATCTTCAACGGCGTTGGTCTGGCTTGGGGCATGCATTTGTGTAATAGTGTTAGGCAGGGCAGGGCATGAGGCTTAGGATAGACCGGGGAGAAAAGCACGCGTGCAGGCTCTATGACTTGCATGGTCTTGGTGCAGAGGGGAGGACGTCGTTTTTCCCTTCCTTCCCTTCTTCAGAGATTCCCCACACGCTTGTGTTCATTATCGCGAATCCAATAGATCTTATAATCTTCACTCTGTCCTCTCTTCCTACTCTTCTTCGACATCCCGTCACCGTATCGTATCGAAGCTATGACCCGTCCCTCGCCGGCCGCCTGCCCAACCAACAAGACGCGTCGCGTCAGCCCCAGGTTACCACTCCCCTGGGTCCTCACAAATAACTGTGCCGCAGACCGCAGCGACCACCCTTGGCAGCACACCCCGGACAATGAGATCGCAACGTTTTTTTATCTGCGACAGCGACGTGCTGCAGGGTCGCTTTTCCCCACAGTGCAGCAGCTGTAGCTACTCCACCTCAATCTTGTTACATCACGCATCGCCAAACTACATCCTGCATACTGAATGCGCAGCACGCGCCACCTCTCCGTCTCAGCCATGATGGACCCGGGACTGTCGCGACGAGCGCGGAACGCGCTCGACGGGCTTGGGCCTGCGCTTTCGGATACCGCACCAGCGTCGTTTGACCCTTTTGGGAATACGATTGATCTTAGTTGTGGGGGGAATGAGGTGTTGTATACCGAATTACAAAAGTTTCTGGGGGATGTTGTGAGGGATGTGGGGGCGGTTGAGGTATGTTTGTTTCCGATTTCGGTTGCGAAGATCGTCGGGATGCGTTTCTACAAGTATAGTTTTGCGCATGTACTAATTTGGCATGAATCTACGATAGGCATTTACGTCCCCCACGGAATCTCTTAGCGGCGGCGGTTTAGGGTTGAGGAATGCTCTTGCGGGCTTTTTCAATGCGTATTTCAAGCCTGTTCATGCTGTGAGGGCTGAACATGTCGTTCTTACAGCTGGGACTACGGATGCGATTGAGAATGTCATACATGCTGTATGCGACGATGGGGATAGTGTGCTTGTTCCTGGTCCGAGTTGTCGTAAGCATTCCTTCCACACCAAGCCTCGGTCATATCCATAATTTCGTCCAACCCTCACTTACAAAATTGCCCTCTTTGACTGATATAACCACAGCCACCCTCTCGCTCTTACTGAAGCAAAAAGCAAACGTAACACCCATCCCCGTCATCCCGCCAACCCACATCCACTGGGACAACTACCTCGTCCCCTCCCTGCAAGCCGCCTACGACTTCTCCGAATATAGAACGCGGATTAAAGCTGTCTTGTTATCTAACCCTAATAACCCCCTCTCGCGATGCTACCCCCGAGAAACGTTACGGGAGTTACTGGAGTTCTGTCAGGAGAGGGGGTTGCATTTGATTGTTGATGAGGGGGCTGGGCTGATGGCATTAGATGGGAAGGAGGGGGGCGGAGGAGCTAAGAAGAAAAGAAATGGCGAGACGTTCGTGAGCGCGTTGTCGTTAACTGAGCCGCTTGTACCGGAGGGAGCCGTCAAGGTCGATCCGAGTCGTGTACATGTAGTGTGGGATGCAAGTCGGTTATTCGGATTGGGTGGACTGAAAGTTGTAAGTCGCTCTTCTTGTCCCCGCAAAACTGCACGGGCTGGAATGACCAGGAGCTGATATGAGTATTTCAGGGTTGCGTGGTATCCCAACAAAACACCCCTCTGCTCACTTCCCTGGCACTGACAGCCACACACCCCTCCTCCCTCTCGACCATCTATCTAACCTCCCTGCTTACATCATCCCTTCTCCCCTCCCTTCTCACTCTAAACACATCCCGCTTGTCAACTTCCTACAACATGCTCGCTTCCTTCCTCCGACGCCACGACATCGAAATCGTGGTACCGACACATGGCCCCTTCCTCGCTGCTAAACTAGCAAAGAAGACTAGGACAGGAGAGGAGGAGAACGCTTTCTGGAGGGAGTTGGAAGGTAGGGGTGGGATCAAGGTTGCGCCTGGGCGGGCGTTCAATGGGGTGGAGAAGGATGGGGGTTGGGCGAGGGTGAATTTTGCGGTTAGGGAGGAGGTTATGCAGGAGGTGGTGGGAAAGCTGGAGGAGTTCTATGGGGGGAGGGGATGAGGGCGGTCTTGTCGTCTGGAGTGTATAGCTGAGAGGTGGTTTGCTTGCTTGGCTTCGACGCGTACTGTGCTGTTCGCGATGGGCGGGAACGTTGTGTTTGCTTTCCATGGTATAAGCGTGGGCGGAGCTCGTTTTCGTCGGAGTGTATAGAATGACATGTGTACTGATTTTCTGGCTTTCGGATAGAGAAGCTTGCGCTGGATTGGAGTATCTAATAGTACAATATCAGGTTTTCTTCCATGCCATGACTAAAGCGCATGTATCCTCAAAGTGCGCCAACACCATCCACGTACAACGTACCAATAGGATCACCTCACCAGTCTCCTTCCTCTCATAATCGCACCCTTACCCGGTCCCTTGCCCGCCTCAAACTATGACGTCGTACCCAGGACCCCATCATTCTCCTCAATATACCTCACCATATCATCGATGGTGCACACCTTGATCCCCCACTTCTTGCCAAAAGCCAAGCAGTCATCCCTCCTCATCATGCCCCCACCAATCAACTCCGGCTTACCAGGCACCTCGTCGCCATCCGTAATCAACTCGCAAATAACACCAACAGGTTGCTTCCCCGCCAACCGACACAGATCAACCGCCGCCTCTGTATGCCCCCTTCTTTCACGCACACCACCATCCCGCGCCTGCAACGGCAATATATGACCCGGTCTCCTGAAGTGACTAGCTTTGGCGCTAGGGTCGGCGAGCATGCGGCATGTTAAGCTGCGGTCTGTGGCTGAGATGCCGGTTGTGACGGACGCGTCGGATGAGTCGATGCTGACGGCGTAGGCGGTGCGGTTGGGGTCGGCGTTGTCGGCGACCATTTGCGGGAGGTGCAGGGCGGCGGCGCGGGAAACGGGGAGGGGCGCGCAGATGTAGCCACTTGAGTAGCGGATCATGAAGGAGGCTTTCGAGGGGGTGAGGGCCGAGGCGGCGATTATCAGGTCGCCTTCGTTTTCGCGCGAGGGTGAGTCAAGGACGATCACGAATTCGTCGTTTGCTAGAAGGCGCGTTAGTAAGGGTTGCGTGGGGTGAGGGGTAGGACGACTGTTGGAGCTGGTGATGCTCGCAGGCACGTACCGAAGGCTTGGATGACATCTGGTATCGAGTCGAAGGCTGGGTGTGCGGGTGTGGGATTTGAAAGCTCCGTCGCGTTGCCGTTGACACCATTGGTACCGTGGGCAGGCAGCCCATTTTGGAGTTCTGCAGGCATGGTTGGAGTATGAATTCGGTCCAATTACTTTCTCCTGGGGTCGTCCTCTCTTAAGGTAGTCGTGTCGAGGAAGAATGTATGGAGCTTGACCGTTCCGCGTGCTTGCAAAGCGTAGAGCTCGCTACCACTTTGCTTAGAAGTAGATCTCGTAAGCCACCGGATGTCCGCGCCTGGAACCTCGAGGTATGCTAAGCTGTAGAATGATCCTCTTATGTATGCTGTAAGTCTGAATGTATACTGCGAGGCAATGCGAGAGTTCATTGAAGAATGCGAGCGGAGTCAAACGGTAGTGATGTTGCGGAACCGGATTGGATGTATCTTGTGATACATGGAGGGAGGGGTTCTTGCTCCGAGGCATCGGCGACTCGGTTCCAAGCCTCCGATGTGGCAGCGCCGATGTGTGGCTTGGCTTTAAGCTATACCCAATGCGGAAGACAAGTTATCACAAGCTCAACGAGATCGACGTGGACAAAGTTCTATAGCTCGCGAACTACCATGAAAACACTTTACGTACAACATACCTGAAACCATTAAGCTGCGGAAGCTGTGGAAGACATGCTGTTGATGGTGCGCATGGCAGCTTCCTGAAGTTCCAGGACCGCCTGGGTATACTGACCTTGCATATGCCCCGGTATGTACGACTGGCATTCGAAAAGGAAGGCGGTCGCTGCAAGAATGGCAGAACGCTCGTCCTCTCGATTGACTACGAGGCTTGCCGTGGGAGCTTGTGGTCCGCGGATCGGAAGGTGTTGAGTGTCCCCACCTCCCATCAACGCGTTACTCTCGCCTAACTCAACGTCCTTGGCTTCCATCTCCGCCTCCTCCTTGCTGTCGTCCAACTCAACTCCATCTCCTTCCGAGTCCGTCTCGGCGTCATCGTCCTCTCCCTCTTGTTCAAGCATCCATGCTCTGTGTTCCTGGAGATATTGGTCTCGCTGCTCAGCCAACCAGTCAAGCTCCTCACGGAGATCTTGTAGGGCAGCGAGCGAATCGGCATCATTCATTTCCGTTGCCCGCCGTACCGTATTACTGTGACAGCTCTCCTGATACGACACGGTCGAAGTCAGCGTATGTCTCAAATCCAGTCTGTACATTGGAGATCTTACCGCTGCGAGCCTCCAGTCATTGCCATCGTCCCAGTTATCCATAGCGCTCGTGAGAAGTATACAGTTTCTTATAATGTAGTACGGCGGAAGAGTTGTGTCGCTGGGAATAGTTAGTCGCAATACTAATTGTGGTGGTTGTTTTGTTGCTACCACTTACGTTATGTTGCGCTGAGCTGCCAATATGCAGCCAGCTATATCGCCGCTGTCGAAGAGCGCTTCTGCGTCCTCGAATTTCTTCCGATACAGCCTCAATGCTGCGCATGGATCAGAAATGTTCGTCTGAATTGTACCCATATTTGTGGGAATTCCAGTATTGCGTCAGCAAAAGTGTAAGGGAGGGCAAATGTAACGATGTAGACACCAGAGTTTGGATGCCAAGCATTGCGTATGGGACAACAACCAACTTGTTTGCTATGCGAGGAGGCAGAAAATTTTCACTCCATTTCACTTTACACAGGCATACCCCTCTACTCGACTTCTGCAGATTTCGTTCTGGATCTCGGTCGCGTCTGCAGTATCCAGCAATCATATCAAGGACTGCGCCGTAAATAACCTCTCGCGCAAGACGAGGTCCTCGGCGTACACATGACAGTCTTTTCGCGTCATGCACTACGGTTCTCTACTAGGCGTACCTGCCACGTTGAGCCTGAATCCATCATGAGAACAGACTGGACCGTCAGGTACCCCAGGGATCTATACTTGGAACAACCAACATCACAGACAACTCTCTCAACGACATGGAAGAGAAGACGTCGAAGCAGCTACCGTAGGACCCACACGCAGCATCATCGTGAAATCGCCCACCCAGCCTACAGTGCCTCTGCAAGACGACGACCAGCCCGCTCGAAGTCTGCAAAAGTAGAAAAGTGGAAACTCCGGCGGTGTTGCAGCCGATATGTATGCCTCTAACAAGCCATTGGGCAGGGCCAGTGGCAGATTGGCGTTGCGCGACTTCGCGGAAGATGAGGTTGAGGATGGGGAAGATGAGGGCGGCAAGGATAAGGACAACAAGCGTGTCTGAAGTACGGTGTCACGCAGCGCCCGCCTAGGCAGTGTATGTTGACTGTGCATCATGGACGTTGTGGTTGCAGTCGGATAGTAATCTACGTAGTTCCAAAGAGCGATACTTGAACGGTTATTGACATCTCAAGGTTCTTGCCTCAGTCGGTAACTCGGATGTGGCGCTGCCGATGTGGCTTCAGGTTGCGCCTGCTGCAAGAGCGATGTCTGACAAGTCTGGATATCCTTGTACGAGATGGGCTAAACGTCAGACGTCGTGCGCTGGTGGCTTTGGAACATGGCGTGTTCTCACTTTTCCATGATCCAAATGTGATCACATGCGAAAATTCTAGGGATGAAGATGTTACGTCTTGTGTACCATTGTAATAAATCCGATTTATATCAGATACAAGTGAGGGTATAATCGAAGAAAACTACCCGCGTCTGCGCGCATTAAGGCGCCTCGACGTGGTAACGCCATGTATACAAAAAGGTCGCAAAATGACTATCAAACTCCCATATACAATCTCAATATCAAAGCAGACACAGTCTACGACGCACGCTTATCGGTGACGAACTCCTTGTCATCGTGAGCCGAGCTGCCTCCACTATGCGGCTCTGAGACACCCATAGTCTCCGGGTCAGATCTCCAGAAGTCCTTCTTTCCGCTGGCGAGCCTCTTAACCCACGGGGGGAGGAGGCCGCCCTCGAGACGCCAAGTCCAGTGCTCCTTTTCGTCCTTGTTGGGAGGTACAATGCGACCACCAGAAGCCAGCTCGACGAGCCAGACGGTGCCGTTGATGAGAATGTACGAGCAGATACCGGCGATCAAACCGTAGGCGATGGAGTATGTGAAGGGCATGACGGCGATGGTGAGGAAAGCGGGAATGGAATCGCCGAGGTAGCGCCAGTTGATGTCCTTGGCCGAGGTTGCCATGAGTGAACCGACGATTACCAGGGTACACCCGGTAGCCCAGGGAGGGATGGATGCGAAGATTGGAGCGAAGAAGATGGCGATGAAGAAGCAGATACCAGAGAACATGGCAGTAAGACCGGTCTTGCCTCCTTCAGAGATACCGGCACCAGATTCGATGTAGGCGGTAACTGGAGGGCATCCCATAAGCGATCCGATACTGATACCGAGAGCGTCGACGGAGTAGGCGATGGAGGAGTTTTCGAAGTCCTGGGTGCGCTCGTCGATAACACCGCAGAAACGAGCCATGGAGTAGAGGGTACCAGTGCCTAGTGATGTCAGCATATTGCTCAAAAAGTGTCTAACGCGCAACTTACAGTCCAGAATATCGACGTAGAGGAAGGTAATGAAAGCTAGACCCCATTGACCAGCGTGCTCCGAGATGTTCCACTGCTGAACAGCAAGAATCTTGCCAATCGGGTGGAAAGTAACGACCTGCTTGAAGAAATCGAAAGCGGAGTTGCCAGTCTCGGTGTACGGGAAGTAGGTGACGCTTGTTGGGCGAGGCCACGAGATGATGGAAACGAGGAGAATGCCGATGATGATGGCACCCTTGACGCGGTACAGCATAAGCATGACGGTCAAGACACCGCCACAGAAGATACCGATCCACATGGTTGGGCTCCTCATCTTGACACTTCCTGGGCAGACGCCATCAACCTGGTCTGCAGCAACGCAACCGGCGAGTTCGAGAGGGGTCGATTGAGCACCGGTGATGAGACCGATACCAGCGGAGTAGGCGAGACCAATAATAGTCAGGTACAGTCCGATACCGACACCGGTGGCGAGCTTGATACTAGCGGGAATAGCTCGTGCAAGCCATTGTCGGATACCCAGCATAGTAAGACCAACAAAGACGAAACCCTCGACGAATACAGCAGTAAGAGCGACCTCATAGGGGACCATGCCTAAAAAGCAATTAGCAACGTTCCATGAAGATCAACTGGTACGACCCGTGGCGTCGGTAAGCAGACCCAATTAGGGAACCGCATAACGGGGATACATAAACGGGAACGGGGAATGGCGCATTGGTGCGACGTACCTGTACCATGGAAACCAACTACGGTGTACGCAAAGTAAGCGTTCAGCCCCATACCCGGAGCCAGGGCAATGGGCAGATTGGCGAACAAGCCCATGCAGAAAGTAGTCAAAGCGGAGATGGCAGCGGTCGCAGTAACCAGATCACGTCTGACTTCCTGGACACAGAGGGCGTACTGTGGGTTGGTCTCGCAAATGGGGTCGTCCGGGAGGCCTGGGCACACGCAAGTACCACCAGTGTCTGACACGATGGATGCTACACATGGTCATCAGATGCGGTTCTGTCAACGACATCCCGCAATGGACATACAGTTAACAGAGATGATATAAGCCATGGCGAAGAAGGTGGCTAGTCCCGCGCGGAACTCAGTGAAGAAGTAGCTCCCCTTGCGCTCTTTGGGCTATAGGGCTGTTAGTGCATGTACCGACTATCGACACGCGATATACATACATGCCCTGATCCCTCGAGGCGAAAGTACCGTCCGACGGCGGAGCGCGCGACCGCGCCATTGACCTTGTGAACAAAGCCCGACATTGTGGCAGAATTTTCTCTCAACAGCACCGCGGTTGATAATCGCAAAATTGAGTTGAGTTGTGTGCGATGAAGAGGTACGGTTGATGCGGAGTAGACCGGCGAGAGGATCGACGTCAAGCTCTGCTCGATTTACCAGTGAAGGCGAAGCGAGTCTTTTAAGTCAGGGTGCGTTCGTAGCACAGGGCCTGGACGGCGGATGTGAATGAAAGTGTATCCCGCACCAAAAAGATAAGGACCAGCGGCGACGACCAACCCTGTCGCGTTCGACCTCCCGCGAAGAACCAATGACCCATATCAGGCCGATCAAGCCCTGCTTTAGTTGGACTAGTCGCGCGGCCCATGCGATTCCACTTCGCGGCAAGCTAGGCTGTCTCGGCGTGCTGCGCGTGAAGGTGACCGGCCGCTTCCCTCAGCCTAAGCCTGGGGAACGTAGAGTGAAGTCCCGGGCACGGCAGCTCGCCTTTCGCGACACCTCATCTTGGCGCATACACATGCTTTTCCCCCTCGAAGCCACGCCAGCCCTGGCGTATCAGGGCGGACGCGCTATTCGGAGGTCGCCGGCCGGCGCCCGCAGCCACGCCCTGTGGAAGTCGCCTCTTGTCCGCGGGTATCTAGGACCGAATCTCTGTTATCGTAGCTGACGAGACGCACACCACGGGCGCACCTCGTCGATTGCAAATGGAATCTTGTCAATCTTCGGAATGGGTCGCTCGTGTTGGAAATAAAGGTGGAGCTAGTCCATGCAACGGTTGACGGAGACTCGCCTAGTCGCGTTAATGAAGTTCTGATAGCACCAAGTGGAGTCCTTGGAATGCCGTCAGCCTTCCACTGCCTGCAGCGCTGTTCCGCCTGCATATGTCGTCTGCCTTCGTCCTCCATTGCGCAACACGACCATCCATATTGACGTTGGTGACACCCGTGTCATCGTTGGGTCGCTTCTCCTCACATGCAGGAGCGAACCCGGCAGCCAGGGCATTGGGGATAAACTGCATGGGGTCGCAAATATATCGCAAGGAGCCCCTTGCCCAACATTCACCAACAAACGGCTTTCTACACACCACCTCCGGGGAACAAACACATCGCTTGCTATACATACGACCTTGCATGAACGCTACGAGTACACTAATTGGCACGTTCCTTCTGCTGGGGTAGTCTACGCCCACGGCAAACACTCGCCGCCATCACGACCCAATAAATACTAATCGAGGATGCTTAGCCTACTTGTTTGTTCTTCCTACCTCGAACACCACCATCTCGAAGACTAATCTCAAGAGTCGTACACGAACGACGTGGCTACACCAATCGCCCTGCAGCCCTAGACCATGCCACCACGATACCTCGCCTCGCAGCATCTCAAAAGCAATTACGCGCCTTCTGGCCTTGTGGGACTCCACTGGGCCACATCTAGAACGCCCCGATCTCAGGTTTCATGGCGCTTGATGCGGTTTGCCATGCTATCCGCGCCGCAGTCGTGCTGTCGCCGGATCTGGTGTAACAATCAATCCACATGGAGTATTTCGAGCGCGGATTAACACGGCTTTCCCGATGCGCCACGGGCCGTGGTCCATCTGAAACTCGCCGCGGGGATCTATGAGGATAGATATTGTCGCAAGGCTTCCTACTTTGCATAGGCCTGCTGTGGAGATTGTTGACGGCCTGATCGATGTCCTGTGTCAACGTCGCCTGACCGGAACCGAGCATCTCGGCGTTCGCAGACTGCGATTCAAGCTGACTACATCGCCATGAAGAGAGCTGAGTATCCAGACGCCACAACAACAAGCACAACGATTGTTGTGACCGATATGCACTACGTGAGCTGAACGACGGCGCGGGGATCGTCGCCTCGCTTCTAGCGCTGCCCAGGTGCCATGTGGCTACCCCTTGCGCTAGCAACATGTATTGGCTGCTAGGGGAAATGCAATATGCATCTTGCTCTTTAGAGCGCCTCGCTCACCTGGCATAGGAGACGTCACGATATAGCATTGTTCGGAAACGACAAGCTTAATAAGCTGGCTAACCAATCGCTCTATCCGTATTTCACGGCTACACGATTTCCGTGTTGTTGGATCTTCCGTTTAGCGGCCTGAAATTGAGTCACCTTACATACCAATCGCAGTGTCGGGAACGACAAACCACCCTCCAGCTCAGTTTAATCCTCGTCGTTGCCCAAGGCATTCCATACACCGTTGATACCTGGGTAGCCATCGGGCTGCTGGTGTCGCATTCATCGACTGTAGCGCGGCCTAGAGCTGGACTAAGCAGACCTAGTAGGACTGATCATCGCATCCCGGAGTAAACACGAGCGCGGAGAGTTTGAAATGAGGGGATGACGAATATAGAGTTTGCGGAGTAAATCCTACGCCGTCGTCATACTCGAGTGCGATCGCGCCGTTGGTCCGCTCCGTATACACCTGCCGTATGGTCGCCTAGCTGGGCTGACCGCATTGGCGACTTTAGACACAATAATCTAAGCAAATTCTATGAGAGTATCCACGAAGACTACGGTCACTGCAATGGCATACAAACCACATACCGCGAAGCGCTTCAGCTCCATACCTATGCCGCGTCTCCGTAACAAATCTTCGTAGCCTTCTCCATGTCCACCACCCCATCCTCATCCATAATCTCCTCCGCCCTCAAATAAAACAATGACCACGTCTCATTCAACTCCCCCTCCTGCATATGAACCTGAAACATCAGCGCATCCCGATACCTAATCCGCCACTCATACCACGTCTTCGCTTTTGGCGGAAGCACCCATTCGTGATTCGGTCCCAAGCGCATAGTCCTCTCACAGTACGTATAGGCCAGGAGAGTTTCATCCTTGGCACTACGTGCATCGGCGACGAACATGATATTTTGGTTTATGAAGTTTACGCTGTATTGGTTGTGTAAGAGCCAGTCTTTGCATTCTGCTGTGGAGGTGAAGGGGGAGGGGAAGGAGGGGCTGGAGGGCTTTTTGGTGTAGTCGGTGCGGACCTTGGGACTGGCTTTGGAGGAGGCGATGTAGAAGGGGGAGAAGTCGGAGGGCATGTTGTGGGTGGCTTTGTGGACGAACTGGACAGGTTGTTAGTTTTGTGAGAGGGGTGGGGTTGAGAAGAGGTAAGTCTTGCAGGCTTCGCTTCCTCAGCGATGCAGAATAGCATCACGCCTGTCATCTTGAGGAATGATGTAGTTTCCTGGCTTGTTTGGAGTGAGACCGCCGGTGTCAGGCACTACCTGCTTAGGTAGGTAAGGATGAGGATGTGACTGTGGCTGGCCTTGAGCATGTGAGCGGCCGTGCTGTCACAAATTCTTAAGGGACGCAAGACTCATAACGATGCTGACAACGGGGCGTAAACTTAGATCTAAATCCTTCATAGAGCGTTGGTTGAGATGCATCTAAAGAACCGCCATTGGTCGGGTGCCTTTAGGATGTGGGGTCGTGATGACGTACAGGCAGTACATGGACGCCTAAAACGCATTTCAACGATCAAAGTCACCGGGACGGTGTAAGCATGTGATGTGTGTCTGGTATCGAATGGAATGAGATTATAACTACAGACTTCGGGAATCAGGAAAATTCTGAAGCAAAATTGAAGCTGCAGTAACCTGACCGTCGTTATCGAAAGTAACATGTCAACCTAGACAGACCACCTTCTGCATCTCTACCTCCTACAACCCGTCTCCTCCCAGATTCTACCTCCACCAAAGTAACTCGCAGTCCATTCAACGCCCCCAGTTCCCCCTATACAGTCCATCCAGGGCATCGTTCAAGGCGTTCAAGTCATCCCAGTCACCACTCAGTCTCCCATCCGCACTTATACCTTGAACCTTCCCATTCTTCAGATCCTTCTTAGCTTTGAAAATGATTACAGACAAGACGATAACGACGATCACCACGGCCAGAATGATAGTGAAGCAGCAGCAGGCGTCTTCCTCAGAATTCAGCTTCCGCTTCGGCGTCGTGATTGCAGTGCTGCGCGTATGGGCTGGGGCCTCGGCCGCTGGTATGCGGGTTGTGCGTTGGACCTCTGCGGTGTTTGATTGCAGCGAGGAGAGAGCGATGTTCGTAGTGTTGTTAGCGTTCACCATGTACGATGCGGCTTCGATGTCGTAGTTTGGGTCGCTGGGTGCGGAATGGTGGTGTGATGAATGGTGGGCGTCGGGGAAATGGGCGGGCGGAGGGGAGTGGATGTGATCGGGAGTGTTGTGTGTTGGTGGATGGGAAGCGGTACTGCAGAAGTTGTCTGATGCAGTATATGCCGCAGGCTCATGCGTAGAATAAGAAGGTGGGCAGTCGAACGACTGATCGTATGACGTGAAGGTGTTGTCGTCGGACATGGCTGCTTTGAACTCAATTGTTTTGTGTGAAGGCTGTTTTGAATTTTGTAAGAAGTGTTGTAGTGGAGGAATTGTGAGGGAAGAAAGCAGTCTTAAAGTATTTGAGATCTTGCTCATAGTGGGTTCTACCGTACATTGTAATAGCGAACCACGGGTCTACGATCATGAGTCGTCCACTCCAAACATCAGCATTACCGCCAACAATAATCTGAGCAGATTACACCGACCTCACAAAACTTAGGCAGACGCGCAATGACCGCCATCCACTCTGAGGTCGGCACCAGTCATGAATCGACTCCCTTCTGCTAACAAGAACACTGCTGGTGCTTTGAAGTCATCCGGTACTCCAAGCTTCCCAAGTAGTGCGCCAGCCATCCACGTCTTCTCTACATCTGGGTCTGCTGCGAGAAGTTCGTCGGTCATTGCAGTGCGGATGTACTGCCAATGCGATCAGTATGATGTCTAGATAGTGGGATGCGAATAGACTTACACCTGGCGAAAGCGTGTTCACCCGAATACCGTACTGGCCCCATTCTTGCGCTAGCGAGCGACACATTTGGTGTACAGCTGATTTGCTGGCGTTGTAGGCTGTGCATGTAAGACCCTGAGATTATTGTTAGATCCACCAAATGCTTCAAGACGGAGGCAATATACACACCCTATTGGCGACCTGACCCGACATACTAGCGATGAGCACGATAGAGCCACCGGTGCCCTTGTCCTTCAGTATCCTCGCCGCTCTCTTGACCGATATGAACGCTCCAACAACGTTCACTCGTAGCATGCGCTCAAAGTCTGATGCTTCGTAGTCGAGCGCTGGCACTCTTTGTTGGATACCTGCGCATGCGACCATGCCGTTGAGTGGCGCGCCTTGCTCATCAGCCTCGCGTGATATCTCATCAAGGACTTGGGTGACTTCCGCTTCGCTAGTAACGTCGCATCGACGGTATGTAGCTGTGGTGCCGAGTTGCTTAGCAAGCTTCGTCAAGGCTTGCCATTCTGTGTCGCTTGGCTCTGGAAGGATGTCTAGGCAGGCTGCATGTCCGCCTGCTTCCACGACAGCGAATGCGAGGGTAATTCCGAGTCCGCGACCACCTCCTGTGATGGCGATTGTCTTCCCAGCGAGAGAGAAGAGTGCCGGTGTTTGCGAGGTTGATGTTTGAGTTGTGGATGAGGCAAGAGCGCTAGTGACCGTATTGATGGCTGATGGGCTCATTTTGCTTCCTGGGACGTCAGAATCTCCTAAAGATCAAGGAATGGTGTACGAGAGGGTCTGAATGCAAAGTGTTGAAGAACGACGACGCAAGCAGTTTCCATGTATACCGAAGCTCATGGAATATATGGACGCGCATTTTCTCCACATTCGACATGAAAGCCGCATATGTGGAACTGATTCGCTGGAATTTCATCGTCGCAGCTCGAGCGAGGCACGTATGTGGATGGACGTTGGTGTTGGCAGCTTGGGGTGGGACCGGAGTCTGCACAGGGTTCAAGCGGTTTCCCAGTTGATCAAACGAGCAATCTTAACCTCTGCCAAGAGAAACATCCTCGTTCCAGGTACTGTTTAGCTGCGCATGTGGCTACCGCATCAGGAAAGATGATGTCGAGAGATGTCGCCAACTCTGATTGTTTCTGGTAAAGTTTGTGCTTGGAATGCTCGAACCCAGCAGGTAAAACATACAGGTACCCGTGCTCTTGTCTGGCGCCTTCTCCTACTGACCCATCGGAAAGATGATTAGCACAAGGGATCCACTCCATCAATCAGGCAACTTCGAAAGAACCATCGATTACAGCTGTGCGACGGTGCCCTACCATGCGCGTTGCATGCCGAAGCCACCGCCTTAGGCGACTTCCCGACCACCATGGATCGCTTGTTAATTACTGACAGGCCGTACAAAATCTAGCGGGGTTGTCGTACCCTGCAAGCTCACCACCCGAAACCACCAAGTTGGGCAACTTCTGGCAAAACCATCGATCACGGCTGCCCTTTCGTGCCCTTTCCACGCGACGCCTACAGATCCACCCAATGACCGTCCAACGCCGTCGTGCCCTCTGTGCCCCCTCATGCACGCCACCGGAACCCTCGAACTACCCTCTACAGTAACTTCCAGCCCACCCATCGATTCCCTCGGAGCACGTACATCTGCACATGTCTGTTTCAAGACACCGCCGCAGGAAACACGCATTGTAGCGTCGTACGTCCAGGCGGTGAGGTGGTTCACGAGACCTTTCGATTGAGGCTGAATGACGTCGTTTGCTCCGCCCGCGCATGAGCTTATCGAGCGCGTCCACCGCTTCCACCGCTCCCACGATGTACACAGACTTCCTCTGCCAGCATGATCCCTTTACCCTAGATCTCCTTTTGCCTGTCTCTCTGTGTATTTCCTTCCTGCGCGTTTAGTCCTGCATTTCCAGCGTCTAGCTTTCAGCGTGTCGAGTCATGTCTTTCCTCCAGCAAATCCGCAACACGACGCGGCGCTTCCGCCGCACCCAGCTGCACAACATCGAGACGATAAAATCGCAACCTTTGGCTGAACTATCTGGTTCGCTAGGCGATCTAGGCACACTGCTCCCGCTCATGACAACTCTGGTCCTGACAAACTCGATATCGCTCCCCTCAACCCTCCTCTTCACCGGCGCAGCAAATGTACTCACAGGCCTCGCCTTCGGCATCCCACTACCCGTGCAACCGATGAAAGCCATCGCAGCAGTAGCAATCGCACGCCAATTCACGCTGGAACAGAATGCAGCTGCAGGGCTAGTGGTCGCGGGCCTAGTCGGTGTGTTCAGCATCACAGGATTAATTAACTGGGCGAATCGCGTTACACCCATTCCAGTGGTAAAAGGTATTCAAGTCGGAGCAGGCCTATCGCTATGCTTAAGCACAGGGACCAAACTTCTTTCCTCGCTTACCTGGACGGGACCATGGTGGGGCGACAACCTCTTCATAGCCATCGCAGCAGTCACCCTCTTACTATGCACATTCCCCTACCCCCGCGTACCCTACGCGATGATAATCTTCCTAATCGGCATATTCCTCTCCTTCGCATCCCCAACCAACGACGAAGTCTCCGTCCCACACGCCGCAATACCCATCCTGCATCCCTCAGCCAAAGATTTCCTCGAAGCAACAACAACAGCGTCGCTAGGCCAACTCCCGCTCACCTTACTCAACTCCGTCATCGCCGCCTCAGCACTCTCATCTGACCTCCTACCCTCACCACCTTACCCCGCCGCCCCCACGGTAACAGAACTAGGCATCTCAGTCGCAGCTATCAATCTACTCGGCTGCTGGTTCGGCGCCATGCCCGCGTGCCACGGGTCCGGTGGACTGGCCGGCCAGTTCCGATTCGGTGCTAGGAGCGGGAGCAGTATAATTTTCCTGGGGGCAGTCAAGTTCATGCTCGGGCTTATTGCGTTTTGGAAAGCGGATGCGATTATCAGCACGTTACATGATATACCCAAAGCGCTCTTGGGCGTGCTGGTTCTGGCTGCGGGCGTGGAACTAGCGAAGGTGGGGGAGAGTATTAATACCGATGCCCGCGATTTGAGGGTGCTGGAAAGGGATATGACGTGGGATGGCAAGCGGGTCAAGGAGTTGGATGAAAGGGAGAGGAAGGAGAGGTGGATGGTTATGCTTGTTACGGTGGCGGCGTTGCTGACGTTTAAGAATGATGCAGTGGGTTTTGTGAGCGGGTTGGCGTGGCATTGGGGGTTTGTGGCTGCGCGGCGGATTGAGATGGGCAGGGCTGAGGAGCCGGTTTGGAGGAGCGTGGGGAGTGAGAGGGGGGAGAGGGCGGGGCTGTTGGCGCATAGTGAGAGTGATACTGTTGCGTAGATGGGGGTAGTTGTCACATCAGAGTGGTGGCTAGATGCCGCTGGTCTTCATAACATGATATACATGGCATTTCAGAAGTCTCACAACCATAAACACTTCCAGTAAAAACCATCAAGTTCAACATTCTAGTCATATCAACGTAATGGTACGCAAGCTGGCAAGCGGACCATTGTTGGATTAGGTGAGGTTGTATGTACATACATGTAAGAAACAAAACATGCTTGATAAGATATGTGCTCAGCGCTTGAGCGTATGAGAAACAGTAGATCTAAGTCTTGAGAAAAGGTATAGAAAACATCGCACCAAAACATGTATACAACTAATATGTCGTCATGCAGCGAGAACGCCCATAAAAAAACGAAAGTACGAAAAGCAGTAAAGCAGAGTCATAAAGGACGATTATGCTTTTTCTGAGATCTCGGTTGCGTGCTGCGGCGGTGTGGCAGTTCCGGTGATGGAAGCGTACCGCGCGGTCTCGGTGTTCTTCTCGGCGTGTTGCTCGGTGTTGGAGTTGAGGCTACTGCCAACGTGCGAGGGCTGGTCGAGGTGCTGTTCCTTGACGGCGCCGGCGTGGGCACCGACTTCCTTCTTGTTCTTCTTCTCCTTCTTGGGCTTGGGCATGCGGAGGAGGTAGTAGAAGGCGAGGGCGGCGACGATGTTGAAGATGACGTAGACCCAGAGGATACTGCGAGGTTGAGTTAGTAACAGGTTCGAAAGGGAGGATGTGGATCGGAGTGACTTACCCAAAGTTGCGCCAAGCGTCGCCGTAGTCGGAAGAGATGCTGCGGAGGAAAACATTGGTGTCCTCGATAGCGCAGAAGTTGCAGTCGGTCATGGCCTCGGGGTTGGTCATCTTACCACCGGCAGATGCTTTCCAGGCCTCGATGTATTGACCGCAGGTTTCGCCTTCGCGAGGGTCAAAGTGGATCAACTCGTTCTGCGCGCACTGCACATTGGCGTTGGCCAGGCCGACAGACAGCAATCCAGACACCATGTACGTAAAGGGCGAGACACGGTACATGAAGATCCAGAAGCGGGGGAAGGTGGAAGGCTGGGCAAGGACACCACAGAAGATCAAGCAGAGCGAGAACATCAAGTTGGCAATGTTGCCACCAGTCTCAGCGGAGTCGATACCAGCAATGACCATGTGTGTGAATGTCGA